TATCTTAAATATGACAGTTATGGGTACTGTGGACTGTAATTTAGTACAATAAATACTAAGTATATTTCTAGCAAGGAGCAAGGACTGATTTTAAGATTTGAATGAGCTACAGTAAACTGGAAGCATATGATCATACCAGTTCACTTTGGGCCCAGTATTTTGGGTGTGAAATTCTGAAGTACGTCATCTTTTTCTTGAGATTACTTAAATCCCAGAATCTTGAACAAATATTGGGTTGCCCAAAATGTTCATTTGTTTTTTTTCCATAAGATGGCTCTAGTAGTGCTTAGTTGTCTTTGACTTCATTCCAAACAATTTTGTTAAGATGTTATTGTGCCCGCTGACCTATCAGCGTGATTTTTTTAAAAATAACATCAAAATTGGTGAGTTTTTATATAGCCATTTTAATATTGAAGATGGAAGAAAACATGTGATATTTTTGGCATATTATGTTTTATTAGGAAAGGTAAAAAAAGTGCAACTGAAATGCAGAAGTTTGAGCAGTGTTTGGAGAAGGTGCTGCGACCGATCAAACGTGTCAAAAGCAGTTGGTGAAGTTTCGTGCTGGAGAGTTCTCACTGGATGAATCTCCGTAGCTAGGTAGACCAGTTGAAGTTGATAGTGATTAAATGGAGACATTAATTGAGAACAATCAATGTTCTGCCATGTAGGAGATAGCCGACATACTCAAAAATATCCAAATCTATAAACTTATAGATGAAAATGAAAAATGTGTCTTATTTTACAGAAAATTTCATACTGACTTTTTGGCCAACCCAAGATTTGCTCAAATATCTAATCCACTATAATGGAAAAGTTAACAAATTAATTTCATCCTCAGTGGGCCTAGCAGAAATTTAATTCACTGTCATATTTTATTTAACTACTTTGCTGTCCCTCTGCCTAGACCCTAGCCACTAACACAGATATGTATAGTCCCCATAAAACTGTATGACAAGACCAAAATCATGGGCTAATTGGTACAGTTGACTTCAGCGATCCATTTGCGGAATATTAGAGCTGATTAATCCTCCACAATGGTAATATCAAATTTTGCCTCATTTTTACTCTTCTTCCTAATTTTTTCATTGTTTCTCTAACTCCTCCTTCACCCTCACTTTCCATAACACATTCCTGTGGGTGTTAATCTCTCCTCATACTCTTGTTTCCTGAAAGGCTCTATTCAACAAACATTTATTAGGTACACTTTAGCCCTTACATGTTTAACCTTTCAATTAGTGGGGAATAGTCTATTATACCTATTAAAACCTTTCTGGGTTTATCTGAAAACTGGCATTTTTCAAAACCCATCTTTTAAAAAATAGAATGAGGCTGTGATCCTTTCATGAAGTAAAAATTCCCTTCAATGTTTTTTGTTGTTGTTGACACTATAAATATGGTAAAGACATGTTAAGTTTTTGTATGTTTTGCAGAAATTCTTATCATTTAGCTGGTCACTACATATTCTTGCTTCTCTTCAGACTAATTAATGAGCCTCAGAGAATTAATGGGTATTTGGAATCCTGTGAGTTTCCAAGGAGGCTACAGTGCTCGCTTAGGAGCTGGTCATCATTTTCACTCAATATTTAATTCTTCCTTGTCCCTCTTTTCATGTTTCTTCTTTCTGCTCCTTGGCCTCTATAAATTCAGCACCGCCTAAGTCAGTTAGGGCAGAATATTCCTACAGCCAGAAGAAATACTCCATGTTAGAAATCTGTGTTACACAATGACGTGAATAACCAAAATTCTCAAGGTCTGAAGAATGCTAGAAAGTCAGCATATCTCTAGGAAATCCAATTTGAACCAAGATATTTTCTGGATGCTATGCCTGCCCCAAAGTTCTTCAAAAGCTAGCCAGAAATGAGAGGGACATTTTCTAATAATCTGGCCCTCTAGAGAGTTGTCTCAGGCCACCACAGAGTAGCAATTTAGTAATAGAAGCAGATCACATAACTTTTTGTGGTGTTTTTTTTTTCAGAGAAAGAAGTGCTGCGTTATCCCATTTGAAGGTGCTGATTAACAAACCCAGACATGTATTTCTCCCTCAGTGTTACTCAGCTATTATATTTCTGATAGCTTTTACCTTTCATCTAAATGTATAAAATTACAAGAAACAGAACATTTTATTTTTATTTGGTAGACTGAAATCTAACTCCCACTTTTTCACCCTCAAACTTTAGTGAAAATGTAGATATTTTTGCAAATTAAAGTTCTGAGCAAATTCCTCCTAGAAGCGTATGAAAGTTATTTCACCTTTTAAGTACAGGGTCTGGCACAAATAGTACCATAAGCATGCAATCCTGCAATATAACAATATCACACTCAAGCACATCATATGACATGTTAGGTGAAATTATCAAATTAAAACTATAAATTATTACACCCATGTTATTATCTTACCAACCACACTCAAGCAGTCCTTAGTTCTGCTGGACACTAACTGAACAACAATAAAAAAAAATGAAAGAAAGTAGTAGAACCTTAAGTATGTATTTACGTATTAGGTTTGAAAATATCTTTCCCATTCCATTTCACAAATATTATAAAATAATTTCCTAATGCCATTTCAAATATAGGTATTTTCATAAAGATCTAGTAATCATAAAAAAGAACACTTTTTAAAATTTTTATTGTATTTTTCTGTGACCATTTAACCCCTTTATACCTCCCTCTGCAATCACCACACTTGTCCCTGTGTCCTTTTTCATTTTGCTCATTCCCTCCACTCCCTAAAAGGCCCCTCCATGAGCCTGTCTCTATTTTTGCTTGTTAGTTCAGTTTGATCACTTATTGATGCCTTTTTAAGAGATGTAATACTGAGGTCCTTCAAAGTTTTAATTCAACATTTTGGTGAAATATTTGCTCATTACAATTACATTATTTAACGTATGTTGTTTCACTTGTGCAGTATCACTATTTTCAGTTTATTTTCAACTAGAATGATAAACTGCATTAACATCCCATTTGGCAGAGAGAATGTTTTAAAAGCCAGCTTACTTAATTTAGTGATCTGAGATCTAGGAGAAAAGTAAATAATAGAATAAAATGCAGTATATGTTATGAATTAATATGTATTTTAAGAATGTTTTTTCTATAATTTCTAACATAACATTCTTCTTAGTATTACATTTTATTGACTCCAGGGAAGAAGAAGAATCAGTAACTTTGGGAAAGAATATAAAATAAAATCAAAACTATTAATTCTTTCATTGTTTGAAGAAAATTAAGTATAATTGAGACTGAGTGTGTGTAAAGTATTAAACCATAAAGAAATTGGTGATTTAATAGTAAAAAAAAAAGGCTTTGCTTTGGCTATTGCCATCCTTTCTTTTCTTGTCCTGGGAGGTGGCAGTTTGTTAAAATTTCAAGGAATCATTAATTTCCATACCCATTGTAAAGTATTGGGTTGGCCAAAAAGTCTGTTACATTTTTTCCATATGATGGCTCTAGTAGCACTTAGTTGTCTTTAACTTCATTTCAAACAATTTTGTTAGGTTCTGCTGTGACAGCTGTCTTATCAGTGTACATTAAAAAAACATCAAAATTGGTGAATTTTTATACAGCCATTTTAATATTGAAGATGAAAAAGTTATACAACATTTTTGGTATATTATACTTTCTTATTTCAAGAAAGGTAAAAATGCAACTGAAACACAAAAAAAATGATTTGTGCAGTGTATGCAGAAGGTGCTATGACTGATCAAATGTATCAAAAGTGGTTTGTGAAGTGTCTTAGTACTGTTGACATTTTGGCTAAATGATTCTTTGCCGTGGGGCTGTCTTATGCATTGGAAGATGTTTAGCAGCACCCCTGGCTGCTACCCACTAGAAGCCTATTAATAGCAGGCGGTAGCCGACACTCAAAGTATCCAAATCAACAAAGTTATTGGTGAAAATGAAAATGTGACTTTTATTTTATAGAAAAAACTGAATGGACTTTTTGGCCAACCCAATATAATTAGGTTAACTGTGCTTTAAAACATTAAATATTCTTGTGACTTCTTGTACTGAATTGTTGATTTGATCAGATGATAGAAATAATAATATGCATTTTCTCTCTTAAATTACATAATGTGATTTTTATTTAGCTATAGTTAATAGTGTTAATAGTACCTAGTACCCAAATACAGGATGTTCAGAACCTGTCTTCATAGTATATGCAATAGTAGGGGCAGATGGATAGATATCTTTTAAATGAGAGGTTATCAAGAGCAAATCTCATATATTATTGGCACTTCCTACTTAATTAAGGTGTTAGATTCTGTTTAGTGTGCTGAGATGACCTGGAATAAAACTTTGTATGGTTGCCCCTTTTCTTTGTTGGCTCTGAATTATTTTCTCTTTTACATTCCATTTCTGCTGTCATTTCTAATAGCTCTTCCACACCACCATATCCTAAAACATAATGTAGAGGCCATGATTACATCTTACAATGTTTGTTCATATTAATAGACCCTTCACTTACAGATTTTAATATAAGATTAAGAGAGGGATGGATAGATTTAGTACCTTTTGAACATTAATGAAGGTGTTTTTGTTCACTTGCATTAAACTATTAATGCATTTTAAGCAAAATCTGCACTATAATTTTATGACAGAATAGAAAAGATATTAAATACTTTTTATGCTTGAGACTATTTAGAAAGAGTAGATACTGTCCCACATCTTGAATTATGAAGTCATATCATATTATGAATTATGAAAAGTGAAGAATTTTTTCCTCATAACTAGAAATATCTGCTGGGGTTCCTGCTCTTCTGGTCTCCATTCTGATTTTAATTAGAGAATGTCTTTTAAAAAGTTTTATTTTTGTGATTGGGCTTATTTTTATTTTATTCTCTGGGGGTGGGGAAGATGGCAGACACACATTTAGTAAGAGCTGTTCATTTGCCACCAGTCAGAAAGAAATTGAACTTTAAAAAAATCTATCAAAAATTCTCTAGTGAGCCTTTTATTACTATCTTGTCTTGAGCCCTTTTTTTAATGACATCTATTATCAGATTGAAATGGCGATTGAGACGCTGCAAAAGTCTGACGGTCTGTCCACTCACAGGAGCTCTCTTCTCAACAGCCATGTAAGTTGCCTCTTCATGTAAACTAATCTCTTGCTTGTTCTGCATGTGTTGCTTGCTTCTAAATGCTTGTTTTATTTATTTACTTATTTATTTTGCTTCTTAACCTTCCTTTCTCAGCGCCTTATAATCTCTGTATCACTTAATGGCTATTTGGTACAGTGGAGTATCTAAAAATAGAGTCCCCAGTATACTGCTTTACTAGGTTTTTGTACTATTTTGGTACAAGTATAACATTTCCAAGTTAATAACAAGCTGCTATTTATTTGTAAAATGTAATTGATGGGAATTTTCAACATGTAAATTTTTCTATTATTTAACATGAAGCCAATGCTTGTTACTGCATCTCTACATTTTTCTGAGACAGAGATTATCTTATCTCTTGTATGTCCAGTAATATTCTTTAAGTGGAAAATAGGATTGGTAATACAAACCCAATTGTAAACTGTTTGAAAATTATTTATGTCATATAAGATGGGCAGGAAACAGCTGTCTGGAGAAGCTCAGGGTCTAAGACCTAAAGAAAAATGAAACTGGGCCAAAAGAAAAAATGAGGCTATCAATAAGGCATAAATTACTAATACTTGAGACAAAACAGGACTAGTGTTACTACTTCTTGAAGCTTTTAATGGTTACCTGATGCAGCATCACTAGAACACTGGTAAGTGTAAGAAGACTGATGACAGTTTGCTAGGACTGGAAATGTGTTCAGCAAATGTTCAAATTGAGGGAACCAATGAAAATACTGATTAAAAATTATTTTGTTACTATGATTTCTGAATATATGGGAAAAAGGTAAATAGACCTTTGAATTAGATCTTCTGCAAAATTAATAACATTGACAATATAGTAAAAATTAGTTTTCCCTCCCAAACTGAAAATGTGTATATTCTTAAATTTAGAGATGTTGTTATGATTTAAGTTCTTCATGTTTTGTTACAGAAAAGTCCAGAATTGGATTATCCAAATGAGATTTCAGAAATACTGTTCTTCTTTCAGCATACCTATAACCTTTGGCTCAGAGAAAATGTTTTCACTATGCTTTTTAAAGATTTGCATTTTCAAACATTTAAATTTTAGATTCCAACACAACACTAAATACTATGTTCTTACACATTTGTTTTTAGATGAAGTATTTTATCTTGTTTCTTTTTCAAGAGGAATTATCATGTCAAATAATAAAAACAGGTTAGCCAACTTGGATAACGCCTGCAATTTCTGTGAAATTATAGATATAAATTTTAAAATAACATTTATTTTGGCCCTTGTTTCTGAAACACTTTAAAAAATATATACATATTTTTCATTTTCTGAAAATTTGTATGCAATGTGTCACTCTTTTATACGTTTCATAAGTATATAGCTTTTGTGTTGCCATGAGTCTGTGGTTGTGTGTAAAGGCTGATTTACTGTGTGTTATTAGGGTATATGTTTTGGGGAGGAGGTAATACTAACAGGTGTTTGTGTTTTGAGAATGGCAAGTGAAACTGTTGTTGTTCACTTTTAGTCAAAATATCCAGGGACTTAAGAAAAAAAAAACCCTTAAGTTTCCAGTTACCTTTTTTGAACTTTCAGGAATCTGAGAAGTTGTGCTTTGATATTCAGCTTGCATTTCATTTTCATTTGAGATACATACTTTAGTAAAATATATATGTTGAATTTTAACTTGAATTATGCATCTTCATTAGTATCTTCATGAATAATAATGTGGATGTGAGAATTTTTGTGTACTTTTATTTGTTCATTTGTTCAAAACTTTTCAAATGTGTTGGGCTTTTTGAAATTACTTTCTTCTTGAATTCATAAAGTAATAGTGTTAATGAATGTGTGAGTTAAGCTGCGTAAGCAACAGTTAAATGAGTGTTACTCCATGGCTTCATATTTTTTATTATGTAGCATGACAGATCTTCCATACTGCCAGAGGCATTTCAATGTACAGAAAGAGTGGGTGTAAATGTCAGTAATGCAGTGGTAATCTTTCTTTCTCAAATGTCCCGATTCATTGTTATTACACCTCTGAGATACAGTTAAATTCATTTAAAAACTCTTTTATAGGCAAGTCGTCAGAAATACAAATGATTTTTATAGATAGCACGTCAAAGTGGAGAAGGGATCAGTGTTTCTGGTGACCAGTCAGCTTTTCCTTTCTCTCTGAGCACAGAAGATCCTGTTGCCTTTCTGTTCTTGCAAAGTCAGTGATGCCTCTCACTCTTATTAGATTTATCTAAGCAACTAGAATAAACTACTGCAGGCATTCTAGTTGAAAACCACCTGCTAAGGGTATTTTAAATTCTGTTAACCTAATTGGTGATTTTCAGTTGTATAGAAAAATTTTGGTAGAGATTTTTAATGAAATATAGTTAATATTTTAAATATCAATAAACTGTAAGTTGCCTTTACTCCCTCACTGTATAGGACCAATAAAGAATTATTTGAATTTTGTGGGATTCTTTGAAGAGGACACGAATTCACCTTTATCATAGTTCTCTGGTTTGTCAGTTTGTACAAAGGGTTAATTTTATTAGACAGAAAGTTCAGAGAAATTGTTGATAATCTGTGTCCCATATTTATCTAAAGAAGGATCATGATTTTTTAGCTCAAATCTATTGTCATTCTATTTTGAAATAGGGACTAGAACAAATTTCCTATTTTCTCATTATGCATTTGATTGTTCATAGTAATTCAGAAAATTCTCATTAGGGTCAAATCACAGAAATCATCCCCTCTCAGTGGAATCCAGTGTGATTGCTTTGTTTTTCATCTTCCTTCCTGCACACTAGGCAATGGAGCAGGGCATTAAATTCCATGCTCCCTTTTCAGCATATTCTTAAGTGTCTGTAGTACTGCTGCTATGCTTTTATAATTACTGTGCCATTATCATCCAGGTTGAAAAGCATGTGTTAACTTGTCTGTTTCCTAATCTTCATAGTGTCCCCACCTGTGACTGAGTACAGTGACACCAAATGCCATGTTTTATCTTATTAACAATAACATAATGGCAATTATTTTAGTAGTAGCATTTTATAGGCAAACAGAAAACGTTTATTGACAAGTGAAAGTTCCAAGATGTAAGGATTTTACATATTTTGTCCATCGATGCTTCCTTTGTGTCTAGAATAGTGGCTGGCACATAGCAGATGCTCATTAAATATATTTTAAGTGAATGAATATAAGAAACAAGTAATATAAGGGAACAGTCCTTATCTTAACCTTCAGTTTTCTAAGTAACTTTACCAGTCATGTGTACATTTATTTGATATGCACTGTTTGGGCATATGTATGAATACTGTTGGTGGAGAGTGGTCTTCTTCTGGCGCACCAACTAAGTGAAAAAGTATATGCGCACTCTCTCCACATGCTGCTGTCAGTTTAAAAGTAGACCCTGTTTCTTTTTTTCTCCAAACAATCTAATCCTTTGAAAAATGATAGCCAAGGGTGATATTATTCATCTCTATGTTTTTAGGATGATACTTTTGATTTAACTTTACATCAATCTGTTAGTATAATAATTTTTATTTAAATGTTTTTCTAAATTTTTTGTATGTGAAGATGCTACAGGTGAATGATAGTCTGCCTAAGTCAATTAGAATGTTGTTATTCTCTTCATTGAAGACTTTATTTTATACTTCTTCTATGATATAATTAATATAAATTAATATTTAATGGTTTATATTGTATCCAATTTGTGATATTTTAGATAAGTTTGAATGTAGAAATGTTCTTAAGTTAATTGTTCCCATTTTCGTATAATGTTCTTTAGCTTGTGCATTTTTAAAGAAATTCCATTTAAAGTATATAAAAAGCTTTAGGCATTTATTTTATAGATTTTTTACAATCTAGCAAATAATTGTTTCATGAATTTTACTGGTTTCAACTACTGAAATATATTGAGCTCAAAGCAAAACTTTGTTTTATACTCACTTTTGCTTGCCATTCCTGTATTGTATATATAAGTTATGACAGAATAAGACTTGTCAAAATGCATATCATCAATGAACTGAATTTAAAATGAATCCTAATGGATAATAATCCATCTGGGGAAAGTGAGAAATGTTACATTTAGATGTTAATTGGAGAATGCAAGATGTATTTTTTTTATTTGTCAATCAATATTTCCCTTTGGGAAAAATAGGACCTATTCATCTTCCTTAATCTGTCCTGATTAATGTAGTTAAGTGAAAAGCTTGCAAGATGAAATTATCTAGGTTTCTACCCTTAGAAGAATTTATGTTAGTTCATTAGTAGAATAATCAGCTTTAAATGGTAAAGGTTAAAAGTTACTGTGGTATTTTATGGGCTTTTAAAATCACAGGTATATACAAATATTTTATAAGACATCTTACAAAAGAATAAAAGAAATAGTTATAGTTTCATTCTAAATTACTTAATGTTAAAGGTGTTGAATGCTAGTGTCAAAATACATTTTATTAAAGACAATACCCAAGGAAAAAAATACATCTTATAACAGGTATCAACTTTCCTTGGGCAATACATGAAGTGTATTTATGCCTTTAAATTATACTTCACTGCTAAGTTTCTCTTCAATAAAATCAATTCTTTCTTATACTGTGTTTTAGACTCAAACGTCTGATTTATAATTTCATCACTGTCAAAACTTGAAGGTTTAATACTAACATGTAGAATGCAGATTTTCATTCCCAGCTAAAACTCAAAATGTTATCTGGTAGGTTCTAAACCAATTCCCAGATACCCCTTGAGTTTTTGGAGCACTGCCCCTAGGTGACACAGTTCAGCTGCTGGCAGGCTTCCAAGCTGAGACAGTCCTGGCTGCAGCAGAGCCACCTCCACCCTTCGGGGCTTTTACTTCCACTGGACTTCTTTCTGCTTTTCCAAAGTGACCCCCAGGCTTCTGTCAAGGAATAAAAGCTCTCCTGTAAACAAGGGACAGGGGACAAAATGTAACTTTGCTATTGTCAAAGTGATAGTTACTAGAATACCCACACTTGCAGAATTTTTTAACCAACTAATCATATACGTGTGTGCATACACATATGTGTACATTCATGTGCATGTGTGACATATGGACATATGTGTGAATATATGTACACATGTTTGTGTGCACACACATAACAAATAAACACAGATTTTTAAAAACTGGTTTCGAAATGAATCTTTAAAAATGTAAATCATTATAGTAAAAGTTTACAAAATAGTTCAGATTATTTGACTAGCTTAGTCATTTCAGAGGACCACATAAACAATCCAATAAAAGCTTTATTTTCTCTAAGTTATTGATTGAATTTGACTAATATTATTTAGACTTCAGGTTCTTCTAAAGCCAACTTTTGCTGTAATTTTCTCTGTGAAAAAAATTTTTAATTAAAAATGGTCCGATTAACTCATATGTATAAACATACCATTGGACTCAAAATATTTTATATTGAACTTAAATGTTTGCATGATTTTTTACTTTTATAAAAGATAATTTATGATAAAACCATCAAATATTTTGTTGGATATACCTTTTCAAATCCTTTTATTATTTTTTTGTACAAGATAATTTTCTTGATCATAAGAAATTAGTAAAATCTCATTCATAGATATTAGTCTTTAATTTTTCATAATAAAATATGAGAAGACTAGTAACTAGTTAAAGCAGTTTACAGAAATTTTCTGTTTATATCTTGCTATTAAATTATTTTTATTTGCTTTGTATCTTTCTCAAAATATTTTACATCATATATTTTTTATTCAAGTACAATCATCAGATATATTTTATTATGTACATTTGTATATAAAGTTTATTACAGAATTGATTATTAACCATTTCTGAAAAGAATCCTTAAATTAACACTTCCTATGTAGATACATGTGTTTTCATTAACAAGGAAAAATTATTTTATTTTTTCTTAATTTTTTAAAAAGAAATCATACAATTTGGGCTTTGGCAATATGCATTATTTTACCAGGATACACAGATATACGTACAAACATGCCTTTGAAATTTTAACTCATGCATTCTATGCTTGTGGATGTGTTTCACTAGTTTAGTTATAAAATATTACTGTTTATCAAAAAATATTCCAGTTTTTATATTTGCCTTTCTGGGGATGGCTTTTCCTTACTGTCCCCTAATGTTACTTGATCTGAAGAACCTGAATATCTCAAAGAATACTTCTGTATTCTATACTTCTGTATTCTGTATTTCTCTATTCTTAATATGTTAAGAGTAACCATGGAAGGCTCAATCTAGTCTCTGCACACGAACAAGAGCCAGTACTCAGTGCAGTGTGGCGCATGAGAGCTTCTCCAGCACTGTTCAGACGAGGAAACCGTGCTTTCAGACCCCAGCCCTGTCGTTGAGGTGTGTGGTAAAAGTGTGTGAGGCAGGTTTGATTGCCACATTTTGTGCGTGATTTCCGTCAGTTGCATTTATAATCAACCAAGTCTTAAAATTTAAAAAGAAATGCTAAAGAGACATTCTGAATACTAGTCTGACCCTTAAGAGCGTCATTTCCCAGTTCACCTCCTCACTTTCACACTACTGATCATGTTATCTGTGTGTTATTTAGAATACTCAGAAATCATATTTCAGTGCCTCTGGAAACTTGTTTACCAACAAGTTGTAGGTGATTCATATCAAAAGAATTCTTTGACCTGTAATTTATTTCATCATAATAAAATTAGTGTTTATTTTGTGTAATTCTAAAAAATGTTTATAAGGACTGTTGTATATGTTGCAGAGGTGATAGGCATGTTTAAATGTGTATATTCATGTGCAGATGTAGGTGGCAGAGAACTTCAGTCTTCCTGACCAGAGCATGATTTTTCCTTTTAGTATTCTGCTCTGTCTTATAAGCTTGATGGCTACAATTTCTAACCCAGCATAAGTATGGGTTTAAAGTAGGAATATTTGAAATTATAATGGTCCTGGAAAGCACAATTGTTATGATTAATTAAAGGCAAATATTATGAAAATGTTTTTAGTGAGTTTGAGTCTGAAAGTTCAGGTTCTGAGTTTGATTACAAATCTCAAAATATGTAAGCAAAATGGAGAAATGTTTTTATTTGTGTCCATAATGTCATTTTAAGGATATGATTGTAAACTCCTAGAGGACAGGGGTGAAATCACATTCACTTTTATGTCACTAGATGTTACCCCATTGCCTGGCATATCATTGATGCTTAATAAAGGAATTCTTTGGCTTCCATGACCTAACTTGAATTGCATGTAGAATATCAGCTCTTTATTATAGCACTTGTATATGGCATGGGAATTTTGTTGAGTCAAGTAATGTGAAAAATTTGCCGCTTTTGTGGAAATAACAACTGGTAATAACAATGGGAGTAACTAGGTAAAGTGTGTTGGAAACCAGACTCGAGCACTGGGATCACATGCAACCTTAAGAAAGTAATTTAAGTCTATTTTAGTTCTTTTGTAAATAAACAAATGAACAAATTAAAAATTTAGTTTTGCTAATATTAAAAGTCAATAATGTATAACTGTTAGATTTTTAAAAAATTTCTTGCTCATTCTATACTTTAAAGGTTATTTTTTAAAAATACACACAGGATAACATAAAACTTTAAAATGTGAACTATAGACTGAGAAAATATTGCTTTACCAACTGCAATTGTAGTGTGTCTTCCAAAGTTATGGGAAAAAAACATAGTTTTGAGGTAGAAAAATTCAAATGATTGTAATGATTCCTTTTCATATATTTTTACTGAAATGTATTGAGTTTCTTTCCTTCTGGGGAAGAAATGACTGATTCTTTTTTCTTTCTGCTTGCAGAATTCTCTCCCAGTAGTTAATTCTATTATTGTATTATTTTGTGTAAGTAAATTAGAATTTTATAGAAATGAATAGAACCTTAATATAAAAACTCATACAAGGAAGCCTGCAGTTGATGTGTTATAATGAGCCAACACTAAAGACATATTACGTGTCATGCTGCTAGGTTTGGTAACATATTTTATTCTGTAACAATTATCAGTTCTTTTTATGACCAGTTAATGGGATTATTTGAATTCCCCGAAGAGATGTTTGTCTCCAAAATAGCAACCAATACGAGAAAAATTATTTTGTCTCTACGTGTGTTTGAATGTTTGCAGGAATGGAGAGGGTCTGAGATCATAAGGGATGTACAACCATTTACATTTGGAGAGTTCTTAAAGTCAGTTCACACTGGCCTCTGTGTTACAACAGCTTACCCTCTTACAAGGCTTGACAGAGATTGAAGCATTTCTGTATACTGCACTTGCAGATATTGTATTTTTATTCCTGTAAATTGCATGGTTTCTCTGGGTTTACTCTGTCTTATTTATACTAGCTCCAGTGGCTGCTGGACAATTACGAGACAGCAGAAGGAGTGAGCCTTCCCAGAAGCACTCTCTACAACCACTACCTACGACACTGTCAGGAACACAAACTGGACCCAGTCAATGCTGCTTCTTTTGGAAAACTAATAAGGTCAATTTTTATGGGGCTACGAACCAGGAGATTGGGAACTAGGTTAGTATTGAAAAATAAGTTTGTAAATTAATCTTTTTCAAACTATAGCAGTTCAGTATATAGTTTGAGCAAACGTACTTGATTAAAGGTAACATGTAAAGAAGAAATACAGAATTATCTCAGTTTAAAAATCACACCCCCCTCCCAGGAAAAGGAAAGCTCGGTAAATACTACCAAATCAGACTGATGCACTATCTTAAACATCAACTGAGCAAAGCTTTGAGAACTGATTCTCAAATTACATAGGAAGTAGCAGACAAACCTGTTAATGGAAGATCTACATATGATGCTTTAAGAATTAATATATATCACTGTCTTCTCTGTTTTAAAATAACCATACTAAAGATGATGAGTAAAGTAACATAGTAAGTGGAAAACTATGTATCTCTTAAAAAATTATATTGGAATTTCTCTAAATAACTTTTGTATTTGAATGGAGTAAGAGATTAAAGCTGAGGGTTTTTTTTTTTTTCATTTCACTTCTGTAGACCAATTAAGAATCATTTGGTGAACTTGAAAAATATGGTTATTTGAAGCCCTCAATAATGAGATGGCTCTATTTACTCTTTTTACCTGTTTTAAATTCTTGAATGTGAAACCGTACATGTATGGAAGAAAAAATATAGTATAGTTTTATTGCATGGAAGCCAATAAAGAAGACTCTTAGTTTCTCTGTTTCCTTTTAAAAAATATATGATAGAAATAACACTTAGAACTGTGGAGCTTCAGTTTTACTTTCCTATATTTTTTACAAATTATCTTAACACATTTTCAGTAGCTTTTATTTCCTAAATCTTACAGAAATCCATATTAAGTAGTATAAAAATAAAGATGGTGCCCTGTAACATTAGATGATCTACCTTTAATTAGTTACAAGTCACAACTTCATTTTATTCTAAGTAGTTCACCTCATAAATTTATACTGAAAAAGGGAGTGTGTCAATTTTATGAAATTTATAAGGTCTCTATGCATTCAGAGTGTGAATTATTTCTTTCTGTTGCATTTCAAGTGATTATACAGCTTTCAGATTGCTGGGGGTTTATTTTTCTCATAAGTGTATTTTCTTCTACCTGGCTTTAAGTCTGTGGGGGGAAAAATAAGCTTTTTGTTTCTTAAGTATTTTCCCCCAGAACCACAAAAATTACTGTTTGGTACCTAACCTACTATCTCCTAGCTGATGGCTCAGTAGTTATGCATACTGTGCCTATATTTTAAAACTCTGGACTTTATTCAACATTCTAATAGCTGTATTGTTGTGCTTCTTTTGTTACTGAAAGGGATTTCAATGGATCCTATTTTGAGGCTCCATTCAAACCTTGAAACACATCTTTAAAATAGAAAGTGACAAAATTAGGGTTGTTTGGGTTTGTGAATGAGTAGAATCCATACTCTGTAAATCCATATTGCAATACTACAGCATTTATTTTCTGGTGTTCTCCCTCTCTATTCCACCCCCCCCCCCACTATGTAACAATATGTCTTCTGTTCCTTTTAAAATTGTTGTATAGTATTTGTAATTAGGATGGAAAGCACAGCTTAGAAGAATGAGAAAAGAAAGCCTTTGAGGAAAGTTTAAACAAATGCTGTGTTATGAGGATAGCAGAACTCTCATGCAGAAAAACTGACAATGGTAGGGGTCAAAGTGCTGAGTCTTTCTACCATGGAAACTGGATTAGCATCCACTTTCTACCTTTAACACAGGGAACAGAAGGTGAATCAGCATAAATCATGAGACAATTTAACTCAGATACTTTTTTTTAAGCAAACTGTATGCAGAACTTGTATTTGTCCATTAATAAAACTAAGTGGTGAATTTATTCAAACCAACACCAGACTTTTTCTCAAGTTTTGGAACTAAGTATAAAGTAAATAAAATCACCATGTTTATAAACAAAGACAAATGAAAAACTACCTTTCGTAGATTGCATTTCCGAATTAAGTTTAAGCCAAAACCATGGGCCATGCTGACCTCCCTCATTATCCACAGAATAGAAAGAACCACTTCCCCTGCCCCCCAGCCAAACAAATGTTGATTTGTAGGAAACTGAAAAGAAAGTAGACACTTCATTTGTTTTGTGGTCTCGAGAGAGACACCATTTCACTGTGTAGTCCTGTCATTGGCTGTGTTCCCTGGTTAATGTCTTCTGCTTCCTACCCCAACACGACTCCCTATCATTCTCCACTTTGTACAAGAGAACACTAATTGGGTTTGTAGTATTTCTCAGTTTTGATTTTTATTCTCTTCTGTAGTAGATTTTAGAAACAAAATCTAATCTCTGCAAATGGAAGGCCTTTCTTTAGAAGCATTAGGTTTTCATACTGGTTTATTTTGCTGGAACTACATAGGTATTCAGATGCCCTACATTTATTTAAAACTAGCAATAGTATATATAAAATGAAATTTTAATGACTTTTCAAATTTATAGGTCTCATATATGTTCTTTAATCTTAGAAATAAAATTCTGTTCTATTTTTTTATCATTTTCATTTTGAACCTAAGAAAATTAACTGTAATTCAATAATATCATCATCACATATATTTCATACTGAAATTATCCCACAAATTTTATTTATTTTTTTAAAGATTTTATTTAGGGCAGGGAACCAAAGTGTCCCAGGTTCGATTCCCAGCCAGGGTAAATGCCTGGGTTGCAGGCCATAACCCCCAGCAACTGCATATTGATGTTTCTCTCTCTCTCTATCTCCCTCCCTTCCCCTCTCTAAAAATAAACAAATAAAATCTTTAAAAAAAAAAGATTGGCCTCTACTGGGGACCTGGCCTGCAACCCAGGCATGTACCCTGACTGGGAATCGAACCTGCGACACTTTGGTGCACAGCCCACATTCAATCCACTGAGCTACGCCAGCCAGGGCTATTTATTTTCCTATTGTATTTTTAATTGAATTTATTGGGGTGACATTGATTAATAAAATTATATAGATTTCAGGTATACAATTCTATATTTCTTCAATTGTATATTATATTGTGTTCCATTTTTATATAAAATACTTAGTTGGTACTTCCCTTGCATTTCTTTTTGTAAATGAAAGAAAAAATTGAGTCCTGATATCTTGCTATATATAGGCTTGTGAAAAACTTTTTTCATTGCAAAAATCTACGTATTTAAAATGTTATTTTTGCAACAGTTTCATATTTCATTCAGAGCTAAACTTTGTCATTTCTGATAACAAACATGGTATTTCTCGTGAACAAGGGGAAATTCTGATGTTTTTATTCCAGGTGGAAATTTGCCATTTTCACAGAAAATTTCCTCATGTCTGTTGTGATACATCTTATTCAGCCTGCAAAAGTAATATGAATCCATAAAAACAGAGATGAATAAAATATGTTTCAAAATGAGTAAATGCATGCTTCTTTTTAGGTTTCAAAATATTAAATATAATAGACTTCATCACATCTTGCATCAGTGAAGTTATCTTCATCATCCCTGCAGTAATAGAACTTGAAAAATGTAGAACTTACCTAAGAAAGGTAGAATTAAGATTTTTTTCTGTTGGTTCTGTATAACCTCTTTATCATAAATTCTTCTTTAGTGTGCAACCCTTTATCCTGTTAATGAATTTTTGTTGACCAGAATTTTTTCTATTACTCCTTCCCAATTAAATTCAGAACATAAATTTAAAAGTAAAATGTAACTTAAATGGAATAGATGGACTGTTTGACAATATTTAAGAGAAAGTTTGTAAGGAAAGTTTTTTTTAGGGCCTTGAGCTGATAGATTCAGAATCTTATTTTGATTCCTCAGATGTAGCCACCATCAAAATATATGAGTATGCAGAACACATCACAAATATAAAACACATGCAGCTTTTATATATTTTCCCAAATGTGAAGTTTTATAGATATCCTATATGATTAATATTGGTTTGACTGACGTTTTGTGTCTCTAATGTTTGTTGTTCTTTTATGAAGAGGAAACTCCAAGTACCATTACTATGGGATTCGTGTCAAGCCAGATTCCCCTCTTAATCGTCTGCAAGAAGACATGCAGTATATGGCTATGAGACAACAGCCCATGCAGCAGAAACAAAGGTAGATTCTGGAGTTATCACTGACATGTTAAAGCTATGCATTTCTTTAAATGTTTGGTCTCCTTTTTTTTTTCTGAACAAATAGAACAAATACCTAAGTTCTTGGCATGTTTTCACTACAGACAGTTCTCAAATATGATTTAGAATTGTATTCAACCTGTCTATTTTCCAGTTATTTTAAACTTACTTATCGGGCAGCCTGTTTAGTCCCTTTTAAGTTAAATGTGACATCCCAAGCTATTCAGGCAGGGAAACTAAATACAAAGCAAAAAGAATACACCCAAGCAAGCACCAGCTGGAGAAATGTGTTCCAGTATTTATGAGCTTTTTAACTGCTGTTTTGCACATCCCTCAAGTCATTCTTTTTGACACAGTATATATTCTTGCAGAATGTTTGGGATTTCTTACACTTTCTTAGAATCCAGCTTTCGTAGATGTGAATGGTAGATGTAAGAGATCTCAGGCATTCGTGGGTGGATGGATGGATGGATGGATGGATGGAAAGAAGAATCATGGATCGTAGAACTGAAAAATACCTCAGTCTAGTCTGGCCCCACAGCCTTGTGACAGAATACTAATATTGCTATTTTTGAGTTAAGTCCCAGAGAAATCAAATGATTTACACAAACCCATAATGCTGTTACATAGCTGAGCTGTTCTATAGCTGAGCTGTTAGATAGCTGTTATATAGTTAAAGAATTAGAACAGAAGGTACATGGCTTGTTGTTGTTTTTTGTTTGTTTGTTTTAAGTACTACAATGTGAGAAATATTAAAATAAAGCTTTGGTCAAGGACCTATTGGAATAGAGAGGAATTTTTAGAAAATTCTGGGAGGATTGGGAAATTTCATAGAGAAGTTGCTATTTGAGTAGGGACTTGAGGGATCAGAAAGAGGGACATTCAGGCAGAGGCAATAATGTAAACAAAAGTATAGAGGGATAAAACGTTCAAGATGTCTTCGGTAAATGCTCTGATTTGGTGAGGTTGGCATTGCAGTAGAGGAATTGAGAAGGTTGAGTAATTTAGTGGCAGATGAGATTTAAAAAGTAGTTCAGATCGTAGATTAAGGGATTTAGTTATATGTGAAGTTTTTTGTTCAGAACATAGCTTTGAAGCTGTGCAAGGCTTGGAGGCAAAACAATGAAACTTTCCAATTTTTTTTTAGAGAGATGGCTTTTTGATTTGGGGCAAGACATAATTAATGGGGAGAGATGAGAGGTAAAGACACATGTTAAATGGTTTTAACACAGTCATAATTTCTAGTGCAAGTGTCCCCAGCTGAAGAGTCAGAACAAGATTGGATAATTGTATAAAGGTATCTCAAGGGTTTTAGATTTTTAATTCAGAGATTCACAACCTTATTTTTTTAAATTGTTGATCCCTATTTTTTGAGTTATAGTTTGTGGAAGATAGGAGGAAAGGCTCTAAAAATATAGTACATCATAGAACAGTCTGTAATATGTTTGAAGATAAAGTTCATGAGTTGTAATAAACTGTTATTCTCTTGGGTTATGATTATTGTTTTCACCTGTTAGGGCAGCATTTATAGTTTTTACTTTATGAGGTCTCAGCACACACATGTCACAGCACTACACAGTGGAGGTGACGATGAGAGCAAGAAATTTGATTAAAAAATAATACATACTCAAACTTAAATGTGAAAAAACTTAGTGAATTTTGCCTAAGACAGCTAAAACCTACTTCTTCCTGTGACATAACTGCGAAGAATCCTATGTAGGAAGTTTTCATGGAAATGGAAGCCTTCAAAAGACATTCTTTATTTTAAAAACCTGGGTTAGGTAAGCAAGATCTAGGACTTAACAAAGGTCTCCTAATTAAAAGACTCCAGAGCTATGAAGGTTAACAAGCTGTAAAAACCCTGCAATCTCAGTATAGTAGTAAATGCTTTTAGAATTAGATATAGTATAGAGGTATTTAAGAAGTGATATAAAATTCTCAGTAATATTAATTGTTCTAACTTGAGTTAGTGTTTGCTTTCTAATGAAGTAAGAATGTTAGAGAACCAAAGCAGCACTGAAATTTTCTTTGATTTTTTTTTTAATTACAAAAGTTTTGGATTATAGACTGTGGGAATGGTGTCTTGCTCCCTGGATGCAGTGTTAGTGTTATCGACCTCAGGGACCCTCACTGGCCTTAGCAGGACAGAGTGGGGTTTCTGTTGTCTCCAAAGGACCCTGTCAGCTGACAACAACAACAGGCCTGAAGTGAAGCCAGAGTTACCCATTGTGCAGAAACACTTGGATAGGAGAGGAAGAGTTTCTCTCCTAACTCTCAATGTAAGGCATAAGAATATTTGTTGAAAACAATGGAAAAAGAGCTATATCATTTGTGTTATGGGTTATAAGATTATTCCAAAACTCAGATGACTCCATTGGATATATTAAAATTCACACAAGAAGAGATTGGCATTCTCCTGTTAAAATACAAGTGACACGTGAAAGGTTTAAAATATTTTATAAGTGGTACTAGTATTTAATATTTTAGAATATTCAAATTGTTTAAATGCCTTGAGGTTTATTGTATTCATCTAAATGTGCACATCTTCTATAGTATAAATTTACATGTTTCACATATTCTTATAGTAACAACATCAAGTATATACAATGATTATTTCATCAAATAAAAGTTTTAAATCTCAGTTTGTACATTTTCTGATTGTTTGGAATCATAGTACTTGTAGCAGTAATAATGATTGTTTTGTATAGCTTTATATTTGTTAGGTATCCTTTACAGGTGGTATCCCACTTGAAGATTTGATGGGGCATTAAAGGAAATTTTCACTTATTTACAAATCAGATTTGCAGCAATTCCACCATATGGAGCATAGCCATGAGTCTGGAAATAAATGGAAACAGCTTCTGATTGAAAAACAGATGTCATGGAGCCTGTAGTTTAGCTTAATTGAAAAGATGAAGCCATCCTCAAGCCATTTACCTAAAACACAGATGCAGATTAGAGCACACTTGATTCACGGGAAATCATTAGATGTAACAGCTGGCAAGAGGAAATATAAGTAGACAAAGGTCTTTTATTTGCTTTGGGTTATTCAACACAGCAGTCTGTGCCTATTCAACAGAGGGAGAAATAGATGTAGGTGCTCCCCGAGGCCCTTTGAGTATCACTGTAGTGACTAGAATCAAGTCTAACACAGTTTGATAACTGTTTGCTAATTGATAGAATTATTGATCATCGAGAAGAGGTAAAGTGCTCTGGTTAAGGAAGCAGAAGAATGTGTAATAGTTGATTTTTTAATATCTTCCGTTGGAAGTATCTCATATGAAAATAATGTATGCACCTAAATGTGGTAATCTTCAGTTTTCAAGGAAATTCACTCATGAACTAATTTGTTAACTATAATTTAGAGAATAAATAAATTTGGTTATTATAGAGCAAAATGGAAATCAGTAATTTTCAGATCTACAAACTAATTAAAATGTTTGCTGCAGTTTATTTTTAATATTTAAAAGAAGCACAGAGAAGCTGTTGACACATACATTTTAGGTATATTCTTCCAAATCCCAGTAGCAAAAGTGGTGGAATGGAGCCAAGTGTTTTTGACAGTGTGCTGGGCTATGTTCAATCCCAGCAACCATTCTCAAAATTAAATTGCATTTATCATTCCTTCAACAAATACTTAACAACCAACAGTTTCGTACCGAACGTGCCCATCACATCTGAAAGAGATACCACAGAATCATACAGTGTTAGAGCTGGAAGGAAGAGATCACCTAATCCATCTCATCCACTTGATGAGAAAACTAGAGTCTATGAAGGGTAGATACTTGTCCAAGATCACAGAGCAATCAGGACTAGACCCCAGTCCATTCGTCTTTATTCTTACAAGAATTCCACCCTTAAAGAGGTAAGATAATCGAAACAGAAATGAACACAGTAATAAAATTTTTGCATACATATGAAATAAAGTAAAAAAATCACACTTTAGGATGTCCTAAATAAATGAGGAGGTATGCCACTTCCTGCCTCTTTAAATTGTCTCTTCACAGGAATTGGATTCTGTGAAAAATGGAACCTTTGTGGCACTGAGGGGAGGGAAATAGAGGGAGGGAAAAAATTTTGCTTTGGCTGTAGACTGCTGTGAAAGCATTCATGGTCCTAAGGAGTGGGGGAGGCCTAGAACCTTTGTTATTAGAAGGCCTTTCTTAATACTGGTTTCATAGACAAGTGAAAGAACTCTGTATTTAAAATTGGGAAGCATGGATTTGGGTACAGGTTGCTTTGGCACTTTGCAGAATATGTGACTGAACTTCATTGAACCTCGGTTTCTTTATCTGCTAAATGGAAATTAATAATAAACTACCTCACAGATTATTTTGAAGTTCAAGTGGAGAAAAGTATGTAAAGTTTTCTTAAAACTGGAAACATGCAAGTGTTAGATAAGTAATAATTAGTATTATCATTATAATACTTGTACACTAGAGAAAAATATGTCTTTAGGAGTAAGGTTGTTTTGGGTAAGAGTGAAACCTGGCTATTGGGGATGCATGGCTTCCATTTCTTTATACCTATAGGCCAGTGGTTTTCAACTTTGATGTTAATAGTTTAGCGTTCCTTTCCTGGACCATGAATTCCCTGGAATCACTTCAGATCTAAGCACCTAGTGTTGGTAAGTTGCTCCAAGACAGCTGAGGGTGGCAGGAGTCTTTAGTGGCGAGATGATTAATGCGTTTGGCTTTTAGAGGCAAATAAGAAATCTTGGCTCTCAGATATTTAATGTTTGCTGTGCCACTGCAGCAGTCCCTGATGTAAAGATAGTTTTCATTGAAGATAGGGGAATCACAATTCAGTAATTATTAACTACAATAATTAATGTAAACTTTGATGATACTAACAGTTATCACTTACCCTTCTGATGAGCATTTATTGAACATTTAAAATGTTCTCCAATAAACACCTAATACGCACGATCTCTTTTGGCAATTATAGTGTTATTTACTGATAAGGCAATTGATCCCCATTTAA